AAGAAAGGAAGGAAGGAAGGAAGGAAGGAAGGAAGGAAGGAAGGAAGGAAGGAAGGAAGGAGAAGGGCCGGCCTTTTTATCTGTATTTAGGAGAGGGTCTACAGGGTCTCACTATGTAGATTCTCCTGTTTTCAACCTCCCAATTGCTGGGATTACAAGCACACGCCACCATTCCCAGTCTTAATCGCTGTCTCAGCATGCCCTGGGGGGCAGAGCACCTCACGCATGAGATCAAACCCCCAGCTGCCGCGCTCTGCCTAAGCAGGCACTTTAGTCTGATGAGCTATCAGGCCAGCCCTCAAAATTACCTTTTAAAAGCTATAAATTGCTTTATCCCAAAGAAACTGACAGAAAGTATTAGCAATAAATGTTAAAATTCCTCTAGCCATCAAATTTAACTTCTTTGTTATCCATCCATGGTATTCATGCGTACCCTTACTGTCCACAGGATGTCTAAGCCTATGAACATTCCTTCACAGCATTCCACAGTTTGTATCTTTTTAAATATCTTTATATTTTATATTAATTGATATTCATTTAGTCATTCAATAGTTTTGCATTGAAAACATAGTAAGGGACAAATCAGACAAAGAGCATTCTGTCAATCAGCTTAGAGTCTAGCATGGAAAGTTATGATAAGCAACAATGTAACACTGGTTATGGACACTGATGTAAAGAAAAAGCACATGTAGTAGCATACATGTGTAGTTACATTTCATGTATGACAATAAGTGAAAAGTTCTCTGGGAAGGTGACCCTTGAATAAAAAGTGAATGAAATCAAAGGAAAGTAAGACATGTGCGTAGATGTGGGAGGAAACATTCAGAGAAAAAGTAAAACCCTGTAGTGATAGCATGTTTCATATTTTTAAGCCACACCAAGAGGTTATGATTGGAATGGATAGAGATTAACAGGGAACATGCTGTGGTGGGGAGAGTAGGGAGGAACTGTTCAACGTATAAATCCTACTAACTAGAAGGTCTTTGGATTTTTAAGGACGGCTTTCAGGCTGAAAGGGATATGAACTGAATATCTCATGAAAACTATATCACTTACTTAAAAACTTCCTTCCAGCTGTTATTGAGGGAAGGTTTTTAGGAAGATAAAGTGGAAACAAAGACAGACTTTTCTCCCAAAGTGTACCTCTGAGCTTTAGGTAGACAAATATACCCGATCATCCAACACACTTCTCTAAATGGTGATTTCCAACACAGCTAAGCATCACATTTTCACTAAAGCTTTTGCTGAAGGAAGAAATACTTTATTCTAAAAGACTTATTAATAATACAGAGTTTGAAACCAACACTTATTAACCAGAATGCTCCCTTGATCCCCATCTCATAAATTTCTTTCATACGCATTCTGTACATATTATTTTGTATTTAGATGAGCTCAGAACTGTGACAATCTGCTTATTATACACATTTCAATCATAACCAAACAGAATAACTCACAAGATAGCTGGCAACTAGAATAAGATTTTACTGAAGTAGAAGAAAGCAGTCTAAATGGCAGTAAAACATGGCAAGGAAATTAGAGGGAGAGAATGAGAGAGATAATTCAAGATAAACAATTTTAGCACATAGCAAGGAAGTTCCAGACCACAAGTTTCTATTTCCTGCTTTAAGACAACTACTTACTAAATGGTACCTTAAAAGGACTAGTCCCCAGGGAAGATGTGAAAGCGACTTTCTTTATAACTTCCTAATTTAAACACTTCCAGGCTCAAGACAGATCCATAAGGACAGAGATTTTAAAATTCTTATTGAATATAAATCCTCTGGGCCAAACATTATCAAGTACATAGCAATTATTCAGTAAATAGTAGTTATTAAATATGTGAGTGAATAAATGAATGGGATTCTAGGAAAATGTTATACCTATATCTAAACTAGTCACATGTCAAGACAGAGATAGCTAACCTTTCATTCACCACTTACACTATCTCCTAAATTATTCGTGTTTTTTTAAAACTTAAAGACGGATGTTTCTGAGTCTGGGAAAATCCCACTCTTGTCTTCAAGATGCACCTACAGTTGTGAGAAACCACACTTCAGATGGCCAGGGAAACCCAACCCTCACCACAACACACCGTGCACCGTCTGGGCCACTGGAGCGCGAATTAAAGAGAACAGGCTCAGCTGGGCTAGCAGGAGGCAAAAGGAAGGGGGCGGAGATACTCAAACGGATATAAATGTTGAGCTCCCTCTGAGAACCCAGGGACCAGGGACCGAACCAGAGCTCAGAAGAAGACGCTCGGCAGGCTGACGGGACTTGAAATTCACTGGCACTCCTGAGAACGAAGATGAGTTCTGAAGACTGTCCCATAACAGAGACCAGTTCTTTGCATCAGGAGAAAGGGGGAAAAAGTAAGTAAATCTTGATTTTTTTATATACTAGTGATATCTCTCTGTGTTACATATGATGTTGTTAGGGAAGAAAATGTGACAGCCTTTTTAGAGAACTTTGTTAAGTTCTACTTCAGTCAGCATGAAAGAGTAGCTTGGAAGAGACCAACACAGTGAAACTCTGTTCAGCTGTGAGACTGTGAAATAGTTGAGAGAAGATCGCAAGGGCGGATTTCAGAAAATCTTTAAAGCATTTTCCTTTAAATCAATTTATATCATCTCAAACTTTATATTTATTTAAGTGCAAAGCTCCTTGCCCTAGCCCATTCTTTGTATATACTTCATTGTATATCTTTGTATATACTTCATTATATATCTTTGCCTGCTGATGTGCACTCCATGAAATGTTTGCCCTTTCTATGGAAATGTGGTTGTCTATTTAAGCAATCATATTCTTGCTTATCTTACCTTTGTCTGCCCTTTGTCACCTCCTCCTCTGTTGTCAGGACAACATTCTCCAGCGGCTGGAACTGTACAGGATTTCACACTTTGAAAGTACCATTATAAAAACCACCTAAAAATTTAGTGTCCAGTACTACTTTATGGGGAGAATAATTTAAAAGTTTCTCAAAGATGCACTCTTCTGTTTTGATATTTTTTATGAAAATCTCTTTTCTTAAGTTCTTCCATCTACTTCAATTTTCTAATCATCACTGGTTTCAAATTCTGCATAGCTGGTTACTTTTCCTCCTGTTTTTCATCAAAATGTGCTATTCTTATGAATGGTCCTCTTTTCTATTTGCTGTAACTATGCATCATTCTATGTTGTGTAATTAAAATTTTTCATTGATTTTTTTCTATCTTGTTGCTGTAAACTTCCTCGATTTTTTGTCCCTCTCCACCCTAATGAATGAGGTGTCCCAAAGCACTAGCAATGAGGAGTAAGAGTTGACTTGTAAGCAAGAACTATCTGGTTATTGGAGGGATTCATTGGAAACAGCAAAACCAAAACAATGCCTGAGTAAGAATCTGCTTTTTGAGTGTACATGTGTTATATTAGATTACTATAAAAAAAGTATCAGTTACCTTTGTAACTTTTGTTTAAGAATGTGAAATCAATTGTGGATTAAAAAGCATAAGCCACATAAATTTCTAGGTAACTGGGTAAGCCACAACTTAGTGGAGCCACTAATGAAAAGAACACAAAATCATTAAATTACAGAAAGCATAGTTGGGTGGACAAGATATTCAAATTTTTAATTATATCTAGGATCAGTACAATTTTCTGTTCAATATTTATTCTTCCACCATAGCTGTTTTGGTAGTATGAACAATTGTTCAGTATCACTCAGGTGACTCAGTAGATAACAAATAGGTAGATCTGTTTTCAGTTTCTCCATTAAAGGAGAGAACATAACATGAGACCAAAAATATGCTGTTGGGGAAATGTTTTGTTACCTAGGTGACAGGACAAACTGTGGTTAACACTAGCCCTCATTAATGTAAATAAAATGTCACCTGAAAGTCACCTCCATAGCTTACATCCTGGGTGGACCATTGGGTGGAGTTAGCTCTGAGACTTGCTAGTTACTTGGATGTTTGCGTGCTTTCTAAGGAGGCAGAGATATTGTAGTCTTGAGTCCAAGCAGCATGATTGACTCACATGGTAAGAAGTGAAACTCGACTGATCTCTGAACTTGGTACCTGACCCACCAAAGACTACTTTTTATAAAATAGTGTATGAATGAGAAAAGAAAGAATTGCTTTGAGAGAGAAATAGGATTAGGTAGATGTAAACCAAAGACTTCTCTTGCAGAGGAGAGGAAAAAATCATAAATGAAGCAAAAGTCTACATGGATAGAGACTGCAGGATAAAGTACTGTAAAGAAAGCAGCATCTGTTTGTGAAATTTACCTTTAAAGAAATGTTTTAAGTGGAAAAAAATATGCATACTTTTAAGTCTATGTTTTATATAAACACCTTTTAAGTTCTGAAATCAATCATGTTGAAAAACGGGATATTTTTGTATGTAGAGACTTTCTTTATGCTAGTTTTAATATCAATCAACCCATTTCATGTTTCAGTTTTTAAGAACATGATTAGTAATAATACTAGGGAATTTAAGAACATACTAGCCTATGCTGAAGCAGGAGTCATTTTCTTAAAAAATAAAAAATCTTGGTAGCTCATCCTTCCACAGAAAGGCCCAAAATCTAAACCACAAAAGTGTTTCCCCTTTTTTCTTATTATTTACTTTTATTCATTTACCACTAGAAATCTACCCTTCTAAAACTTTCTTATTGGTTAAAGACATTTTTTATTATTTTCTAAAGAAAGAAAAATGGCTAAAAAAAAAAAACCCACAAAATTTCATTAAGCAAAGTAATGGGAATTTGACAGTGGTTGTTGTATTGCATAATGTACTGGCAAAAAAAAAACAGACCTGGGGATCCATGGAACAGATTAGAAGATGCAGATACAACTGCAAACACACTCAGCCATCTTGTCTTTGACAAAGGGGTCAAGCATGTTCACTGGAAGAAACATAGCCTCTTCAATAAAGGGTCCTGGAAAAATTGGCTTTCCACAATGCTGAAGACCAAAAGTTAGAGCCATACTTATCACCATGCACTACTGTCAAAATGGATCAAAGATTTAAATATTAAAACTGAAACACTAAATCTTCTGGAGGAGAAAGTAGGTAGAAATCTTGAAGACATAGAGATAGGTAGCTAGTTTATGAAAAAAACCAAACTGCACGAGAAATACTTCAAAGAATCAACATTTGGATCTTATCTTTTTGAAGTTTCTGCATGACTAAAGAAATCACTAACAGGGTAAAAAGAAAACCTACAAACTGGAAAAAAAAATTATTGCCAATTGCCCCTCAGACAAAGGACTTCTATGTAGAACATATAAAGAATTAAAAGAAATCAAGCCTCCAAAATTTAAAGAAAGTTTTGACATTAACTTCCACTCAATATGTGTTCTATAAGAGAGCTAGACAACACAATAGAAAATTCAAATATTTCATACATATATATAATTGTGGTATAATTTATACACATAGGTGTACAAACAATCGTTTATGATAATAGTGTAACCACAGCTATGTGAATATTTGCATATTCCCTTCAGCTTAGAAAGCTCCACTGTGCCCCAATCCTGTTAAATAACCTTTCTCCTGCACACAACCGTGCAACCACTATTCTCATTGTTATCACAACAGTTTCTTCGGATGAACCTGAATGTCATATTTTGCATTTATGACATACAAGAGGAGATGGCAGAACATATTATTTTGTAAATATTTAAATGACTCAAAAATTTGTCAAAAGCCCATTATTTCAGTCTGTCTCAATTCACCACCAACTGTTTCCTTTTCAGATAGTGCCACCCACCTTCACTTTGAAACACAACATGAAGGGTCTCTCCAAGTCCCCATCCCATGTGCTGTCCTGATCGTGGTCTTCATTATAATTTTAGTCATGGCTCTCATTACCTTATCAGGTGAGTCTCCTCCTCATACATCTCTCAAAGACTTCTAATTCTAAGCATTCAGGGCTAGATAAATCAGTAGGTATTAACCTGGTCTAATTAATAAGAAATTTCAATTTTGGGTTATGTCATATATAATACACAGCTACATTCTTTTTTTAAGAGCAGAGTATGTTTATTGGGAAAAAGAAAGCTCCTGTCTGAGAGGACAGGAGGGGCACCTGAGCAATTTGCCTCCACAGTCAAATTCTTAATGAAGATTAAATATAGTTTCATGTTCCTTGAATAATTAGCATGGTATTTTCAAATGTTTAAGATTTATACATTATTGTTAGAGAAAGTATTTATATCTATAAGGAAGTAGACTAAATTGGAATCTAAATTAATAGATATTTAGCTAGAAAACTACATGTACCTTCCATTCATCACAAGCAGGAAAAATAACATCTAAGCCATAGTTTAATCCAAATAAAATAACCTATCTTTTATCTTTAATTGTAAAGCCATAGAATGATGGTTTAGATTATTAACACTATAGGAAGAAACTCAAAATCTCCCTGAGCATGAGCAGTGAAATGATGGTAAATATGTATTATATCAGCACATGTACCAAAATAAATTTGTATCTTTCACAAAGAGGAAATTTTACAACTTTATGAACTATCCCCAGATCTTTTTTGTTTTTTGAATTAGTTAACTGAGAGTTAACCTCTCCCTAATCTCTCAATCTAGTTTTATACAGATGGTATAAAATTCCCACACTTCTGCAATTAGATTCAAATTTTTTACTCAGAATTTACAATGCACATTATTACCCTTTCACTCCAAGGACCATTGACTAGATTCTTCCCCCTCCCGCATTTTCTTGCCTGCTTCTTGCATTAAAAAAGACAACTGTACGCTAGGACCCCAGCCACTCCTGATTAGATGCAGTGGATGATCAGGTAGAAGGACATCTGCTTTCTTCTTCCTGTTCTCAGAATGGTCTTCTGTGGTCCTCACCCTTCATCATCTCTCACAGTAGAGCTTGTCTAGGTCAAGTGTGCATGATGAGGTGTTTGGTTTCTTCTGCTACTAAACAAATAACTTTTCTGATCACAGTGGGCAAATACAACTGTCCGAGCCAGTATGAGTTCTCCATGCCATCAGAAAGCTATGTGTCTTCGTGCTCAGATGAGTGGGTTCTATACCACAGAAAATGCTACTTCTTTTCCAGCACAACAAAGAGCTGGACCTCTGCTAAAGACTCCTGTTCTGAAGATGGTGCTACACTTGCTGTCATTGATTCAAAAAAGGAGATGGTAAGATTTTAACAAACTGATAAAATATTGCTATTTTATTTTATATAACTGATCTATTATTTGCTTCTATTGCTTTCTATGTGAAAAAAAAGTACCTATCTAACATGTAGAGTAATTGAGTTATAGCTATAAGTCTAAGGTAAAAATGAAATTTCAGGGCTGGGGAGATAGCTCAGGTGTCTAAGCACCTGCCTGTTAAGCATAAGAAGCCAGGTTTGATCCCCTAGTACTGCATGCCATGCCCCTGGGGGAGGAATGTGCAGGCCACCAAAAATGGGTGTGGTGGTGCAAATGGGCATGGTGGTACACACCTGTAATTGTAATCTCAGTCCCAGAGAGGTGAGACAGGAGGATCACTACATGTCATGTCCAAGCTGCATAGTTAGACACTGTACCAAACAAGATTTTCTTTAAAAAAGAAACTTCAGTATAGTCTTTTAAATAGGATTTGATCATTTAGTGTCAAAGACTAGAACTCTCAAAAAGCTGATTCCATATGAAACTAGTAAGTGATCAGCTTGGTCTTCAGGCATCAAGTGGTAGCTCTCAAGAAACAATTGTATTAGATGCTTACTCAGTCAACTGTTTAACATAAATACTTATTTGTCTCTAAGGTCTTTCTGAAACGATATGCAGGTAAAGCTGAACACTGGATTGGGCTGAAAAATGAAACTGGTCAGACTTGGAAATGGTCAACTGGCAAAGAATTTAACCATGGGTAAGTGTCAGGAATTCTCTTTATCTTCCTTGGGTTACTACTTCAGGAAGATTTTTCTTCCTTCATTTTTACCTCTTATTTCTGCTTTACTTCTTCCAAAGCTATTACACAGAAAGGCTAAGTAAACCATGTGTGAACCCAGCTCTAGCAATTTCCTTTGTTTTTACTTTTCAGACTTCTTTAAAGATAGACTTTTTAGAAATATTATTTTCTCTATGCATTTAAACTCATACAATAAATTCATATCTAATCATTTTCTTGGCAGTCATCATAATTGGCTTGGTTTAAAAGTGGTGCAAGATTATTTGAATCTTTGGCTTTTAGCACAGAGCTTCCTAGGTAAAGAGTATTTAACAAATGTTTAATGCAATGAATTCATTATCAAAATGAAGAGTGATGTGTATTTTAATGAAAATAAAGTAAGCATTCTGTTTTTAAAAAAAGTGGTACAAGAATAATTGTTATGTTCATTGATGGGACCTTTCTTTGAAAAAAATTTTCTTTTTCTTCTCTTAATTTTTATCTGCCAAGGAGATGAAGAACAATATTTTGGATGCCTAATTATGAGTTTTTATGAACCTAAGAAAAACATAGAAATGCTAAGACAGAATTAGAGATGCTAATTTTATTTTTATCACCTGTGCTCAAATTACATTTTAAATTTTGAATGACATTTTATAAGAATGGTATTAATCTGAAAACCTAATGTTGAATAGATTTCTCACTCTTAAAAATTGTATGGCAAACACTGATACAGTACCAAGATTTAAACTGAGCTATCTACAATAGAATAAGCACTTCCCTGGCAAGCTCAAGGTTCTGAGTACAATCCCTGGTTCCGAAAAAAGAAAAAAAGTAAACTGAGCTATCTAGTAAAGGGATTCTTAGTAAGTTTCCTATGGAGCTAGGGAGATTGCTCTGCACATAAGCACCTGCCTGACAAGTGCAAGGTCCTGAGTTCAATCCCCAGTATCGCATGCTGTGCCAGCTCCAGAACCCCAGGTGTGCCCTGCTGTGCCAGCTGTAGCAAGACCCTGTATCCAAAATAATAATAATAATAATAATAATAATAATAATAATAATAATAATAATAAAGTTTCCTATGGCTCCATATCTGCGGGTGGGCTGCAGGGGGTATAAACTATGCAGAAGTATTGCTTAATGCGTAAAATTTTTGAAGCACTTCTTGAAGAATCTATGAATTCAAAAGTAACTAAGAATCAGGCCAGCCAAATAGTTCAGTGGATTAAAGTGCCTGCAAGAAGGCACAGGGCACAGGATCCCCAGGGTCTGCTGTGCCAGCCCCACCCTGGGGCTCACTGAGACCACAATTGAGATTAGGTGTGGTGATGCACACCTGTAATCCCAGCTCTTGGGAGGCTGTAATAAGGCAGATCACTATGAGTCTGATCTAGTAGTGAGACCCTGAACACCCTGTAGACCCTTCCCTAAAATATAGGAAAAAAGTGACCAAGAATCATTGCTTTGGTGATATATCAACCAAATAACAGAGCACTTTGCTCTTAGTTCTGTATATTTTCCCCATATATTCCTATCACCTCCTGTCTATTTTCCCTATACAGATTAGATCATGGTTATGTCTGACTTTTCTCATATTTCCCTCCAAGAAATACAAGATGTCAACACAAATTGTATTTTCATGGAACTGAATAGATGTGAGTAAGAAAATAATTCTGACTTTACTGTTTGGCAGGTTCAACCTTACCAGGTCTGAGAGCTGCGCATTTCTGGACAGCACAGAGGTCAGCAGCGCAGAATGTGAGCAGCATTTGCACTGGATCTGCAGTAAACCTTCCAGATGATGAGGAAACACATTTCCTGACCACTGGCACCACTGAAGTTGTACTACTGGACGCTGCTCTTTGGTCAGAAATTTCTGTCAAGACTTGATGAACATGTCTTGCATTGCTTGGGAAATTGTCCCCCATATAAAACTGTGGCACAAAAGGGAGAGAAATTCCAGGAAAGTCTGCAGTGTGATTTCTTTCTGCCATGTGCTAAAAATATCACAAGTTGACCAATCATCATGTCCAAGAATGACTACAAAGTCTTTTAGATGCACTTTATATATTTTTTAAAATACATAGTAAAGTAAGTAGGTTTAAAGTGATTATTTATTGTTGAATGACTACCAACAGTGAGCATGTCTCATGCCTTTGCACTATGTGAAATAGGTAAGCAGTAATAGTAAAAATTGAATGTAAATAAATAGAATTTTGACTAGTAACATGTATAGTAATTTTAAAGGAAGTTCTTAAAATTTAGAAAGAATTCATAAATAGACAAATGCTTGTGGAACTAAGCTTTGTAATATTTCCTTTTGCAGAAATTTATCATGTTATTTTGTCATTTTTCCCCCAAAAGAATAGCAACAGCCTTTTACTTTTTTAAACTTCCTTAACTTCAGACAGGTCTTTTTCAGTAGGTCATATTCCTTTGCCTTTAATGTCTTCTATTAGTGGTTTTTAAAGAAGAGACAAAGCAAAGATTATGAAGAATACTTCGAAAGCAGATAAAAAGTATTAGAAAATGTGCAATATGTGGGGGCAAGAACCCTCATCAGGAAATATTTTGTATTGTTCAGCTATGGAATAATATCAATCTTATCTGTAACAACTTTGTATCTGTCCTAATCAGCTTTGTCATGTGCAATACTTCATGTGAAGTATTTTCTGTGTGCAATAAAGTATGTTTTTTAGTCACTGTAATTACAAGCCATTTTATATATCTGAAAATAAAACTAGAATCAATATAATGGTTTCCAAGAAATAGTCATACAAAATAAATAAGTCATATGTCACTATTAGAAGCAGAAAACGAAATATTATGACTTTTAAATAGTTCTATCTAAGGCCACGAATATAACTCAGTGGCATAACTGCCTGCCTGACCAGTGCAAGGTCCCACGCTCAACCCCCAGTGCCACAAAATAATAACAGCAACAATAATAAAAATAATACTATTTATAGTGAAGCTTTTGTTTTATAACATGATTTAAGTACATTTCAGTTTGTTTTCATGCACATATATCTTAAATGACAATCATGATGACATTTTGTAGCATACTTAAATTTTCATTTTGACATAATATAACCCTTTCAACCAATCAACACTACTTTATACGTAGGAAATTTTTGCTTAACTTGTCCTCTAATGGTATGTATACCACAAGCTTTTGTTAAAAGCAAAGACCTGAATATGAAAGAAAAGTCTTATCGCCATAAACAATCTTTGTTTTACATTTTGGAAGACTTGTACATCTCGAATCATGAATACATTAAAAATGATGAAATTAACAATAATGAATTATCATACACCTGTTAAAAGCCTTTGTTTCTTAATTTATTTTTGTAACAAAAGCATCTTTTGTGAGAAAACCCCATTTATTATTCTAGAAAACTTTACCTTTTCACCATGACCAAAGTATTAAGGAGTGTCTCCCTTAAGACTACGGAGATCACTGAAGACCCCTTATTAATGAACAAAGTGTGGCTGCCAACTGCAGTCCTATCCAATAATCTCTCCCTACCCTAAGGGATTTCTGTTTAATTATCTTACTTTTTTTTATAACCAATGAGAAAACCAACTTTGATATCACTTACACTAGTTGGTAAGCCAGGTGGGAGCATACTTGCAAGTTTGTAACCCAAATTGTATTATGAACAATGATCCAAAAATGCAAAAGAAAAAAGGAAAAGAAAAAAATGTTGAGCTCAAAAAAAGGCACAGCTGTTCATGAAATGGACAAACAAACAAGTACATAGCTTAACAAGTTGAACAAACAAGCAAAAATCTTACAAAATCAGAGTGCACTCAAATATATTGTTAACCAAATTGAATTATAACAACTGTTATAATTTTAGAAATTTATAATACCAGAATACTCAGGTTGTATTGTCAACTAGCAGAGATCTCTTAGAACTAGAATTTGGAAGGACTAAAATATATTATCTATGGTGAATATATATTCTTTATATTTTATTTTAAGAATACTGATAACTTTTGGCTCAGTTATCTCTATCTATTGTCACCTACTCAGACCTCTGATTCCCATTTTGTTTACCATCTCCTGGGAATTCTGGATTAATGCTTTTGGTTGGCCCCAGGTCAAGTTTAGCCTCATCCTTATCTATCAGTTATAGAGCAGTAGCAGTCTTCAAGGTGTCACTGTCATAGGATTATGCATCAGCTTTTTGAAAGGTAGAATCAATTTCTCCAGATCTCAGTTAAGATATGGCCGGACAGCATGCTCTAGCAAAACACAAGCTAGTCCTTGACCCTAAATTAGCCTTTTCTACCTTTACCTGATTAAATTAGAGTAGTACACACTGTCAGGTGAGATGGGAGGAACCGGTTCCCCCTTTTGTGTTTGTAATTGAATTTTGAGCATTAGAGAGCCAGATGAACTTTATCCAAGCAGTTTAGCCACTGGGTAAGTGCTTCTGGAGAGGTGGGGGCAAGATTTCCCTGAGAATGTCAAAAGGAGGACCTAAATCATGAAGTAGATAGCTTAAGAGCTGGACAAAGCCGATTAATATTACCAAGTAAAGCCTGAAAATCATGTAGGGTTGGTCTAAACAGTTTTGGCCATACTATATCTTTGTTGGATAAGGCGACCCAAATATGAAAAAGTTGTCATAACTTATGTCCTTTTGTAAGCTACCTCTAGGCCTACCATTAATTTAAATGGAATTTTAAAATTCATCAACTCTTTAAACTTCAATGTCAGGTCAATAATTTCTGACATTGCCAGTTAAACAGAAGACCCAATGCTATTATGGGCTACTGGACTCTTTTAGAATATTTTGCTGAGTTTACACACCTATAATATTCCATAACGGAACTTAGAAAAAATGGGGTATACAGATGAATGTCCATTTTGTATCTGTGTATTCAAAGTGGTTGGGATAGATATATAGTTACATTCTGTTAATGAATAGAATGATTTGTTCTAATGGTGTTTGTAAATAGGATCACAAGTCTGCATCTTGTACAGCAATTAACCACTAAGAAGAATATATGCAGTGTATTATTTGTTGAAAAATAAAAAAAAGAAAAATAAATAAATAAACTTCAATGTTTTCAGATCATATTTTTATTTTTTTATTTAATATTTATTTATTTATTTATTTTTACAGAGTCTCACTAGCAGTTCAGTCTTATACTGATCCTCCTGTCTCAGCCTTTCCAGCACTGGTATTATAAGCATGTGCCACCAAGCCCAGTTTCAGTGGCTCGCACAGTATCAGGTTCTTGTGCTTGCCATGCTCCACTGGGGAGATGAGCTAGCTCCCCAGCTCTCAAATCATATTTTTGAATCTTTATATCTATTTGTAAAATACCAAAACTTTTCTATACCAAATAAAATTTAGGAATATCCACCTCCACCTAGAAACAAAAAACAGGGCTGGGGAAATAGCTGGGCAGTTTAAGACCTGAGTTCAATCCCTGGTATTACGTGCTGTGGTGGCACACACCTGTAATCCCAGAGCTGGGGAGGCCGAGACAAGAGGATCACTGTGAGTCTGAACTGTGAGGCAAGACACTGTGGCAATAAAATTTAAGACAAGTATCAACAACTGTAAGAATGAAGAGAACATCAAAGACTTATAAAAATCTTTTAAATCAGTAGCATATCCTATACATGATGTTGAGAAGAAAATAGTAATTAAAGAATGACAGTTTTTATTAGCTGCATAATCTAAAATGAGGAATATTTTTACTATAACTCTAAAAGACCAAAATTATCACTAAAATATACATTTTTTGAGATAAGGGGCAAAGCTTTATTTATGGTAAATATGGTTTTTTTAAAAAGTAATCTTTTTAAATAGCCCCATAGGGTGCCAGGGAGATGACTCAGTAGAATAAGTGCTTGCCTGACAAGCTCAATGGCCTGAGTTCAAGCCCCAGTTCTGCCAAAGAAATAAACAACAACAACAAAAAAAAACCCATAAATATACATCTTATATATAAGGCAAGCTTTTATTTACTTAGCAACTGTCTACATTTAATTCTCTCGCTCAAGCAGGTTTACCTTCAAGGAAGATAATGCACTATTTGAGCTTCAAGATTGCATGCTCCACTGTAAATCAATGAATTAGAGTTTGCTAATCAGCTTCCTCCAAGTCATGTAACACTGAATCGCTTCAGCATAGGGTGTTTCACTCTTATGAAAAACTCAATCTGTGATGTACAAGTCCGAAAAAAGCTCTTCCAACTCACTATTGAATGAATAAGTCTTTTTTCACAACATTTGAAAAAAAAATAAAAGCTAACTAAAAGCTAACACAGGCATGCTGGCAGGGTCTCACTGGCCTTGAACTCAAAGACCTGGGCTGACCTTGAACTCATGGTGATCTTCCTGCCTCAGCCTCCCAAGTGTTGGGCTTACAGGGCACCAGCAATCCAGTGAGGATCGCCAAGTTTGAACCTAGCCATGAAAATTTAGAGACCTTGCCTCAAAATAAAAGAAGTGCTGGGGATGTAGCCCCAATACTGAGTTAAGGGAAAGACCACTGTAAAAATCCTTTTCTTTGGTGGCTGGACTTTACAGCTAAATGTGACACCAGCAGTAAAGAGAAATGGTCACACATTTTTAGTCTGCGGAATCTCATGCAGTGTGTTGCAGTTTGGATCCAGTTTAATTTTAATTTAAAATTTTAATTTTATGAACATCCAGCCCACTGATTGCTACTGGCCTACTGAAAGGAACAGTTAGGGCCGTCCAAAGAGTTCAGTGGATTAAAGCACCTGCAAGTGGGCACAGAGGCTGGGGGTTCAATCCCCAGGCCTGCCATCCTGGCCCTGCCCCTGGGGTACGCTGAGACCACAACTGAGACTGAGCATGGTGGCGCATGCCTGTAATCCCAGCTCTTGGGAGGCTGTAAACAGGTAGATCACTACGAGTATGATCTAGTAGTGAGACCCTAAATACCCTGTAGACCCTTCCCTAAAAAGAAAATACAAAATTAACAGTTAATGCTTAAAATTTTTTGACCAATTTTGCGTGCGTGTAGCTGGTAATTTGAACAAATAATTTGAAGACAATCATATACAATATAACAACCATTGTTCAAAAAAAAAAAAAAGGCAAGCTTTTTTATCTTG